CAGCACTGATGAGGTTACCCAGTCCGGCAGCGAGACGTCTGCCAGGAAACCAGCCCGCCCAAGCGAGCGCAGCAGCCCCTCCGTTCCTCGGCCTGCTCTCCTTCCGGCCCTTCCTCCAGCCCACCAAAAACAGCCTTGGGGATCTGACAAAATCATTTGGTGATCTCGGAGATCAAACGGCGATTTTTGAAACTCGGCTCCCTTTTTCACGCCTCTCCCCACCAGCACAGCACAGCGAAGCCTCATCACTTCCCGGCCTCTGCCACTAGGGGTCAGGCGCCGACGCTCTGAGCGGAATGCCGTACGGCCATTCAAGCGCCGCCCGGCCGGTTGAGCGCGCAGGAACCGGAAGCGGGGGAAAAGCAGGCTTCCGGTTCCGGCCGGGTAGAAATGGCGCCCCTTGGGCGCTACGTCCTGATCTTCGGCGGCTTCGCTGCTGCGGTGGGCCTGACCCTCTACCCCATCTTCTTTTACCCCATGAGCCACCTGGGGGACTACAGTAAGGGAGGCCTTTCCTTGTGGGGGTGGAAGGGAAGGGGACGCTATAGGTCGAAGCCTTGAGGGGAGGTCAGAGCTGGACTATTGGGCTTAGAAGAGCGGTTGGGACTAGTTTGCTCCCCCCCCCCCCAAATCCTCTAAAGTCAGTTGAGAGGGCAGCCTCAAGACACGGCCCTCTCCTTTTAAGAAAACAAACAAACTGGTGGTATTATGAGGTATTTTATTTATTTATTGAGACCAGAGGTCTCCAAACTATGCTGGCTGAGGAACTGTGGGAGTTGGAAGTCCTCAAGTCTTAAAGTTGCCAAGTTTGGGGACCCCCTGATTTAGAATATGGCATCTATAGGGGTGATGAATTCAATCAATAAAAGTTCTGAGTAAGGTTCAATTGTTATCATTGAGTACTATGCTATTAGGTGAATATATAGGGACATGGACTTGTGTATATAAGTTTGCATAAGCAAAATCTTAGCCTGGTCAGCAACAAAGTCTGATGGGAAATAAGAGCCAGATGCAACGTAGGAAAGATGGAAGAACAAAGTAAAAGCGTTCAAGAGTAAATTAAAAAAAATAAGAAAAAATTGCATAGAATGGTGGTTGGGTTCTGGTCTGAGAGCAGGAAACAAATACAGGATAAGAAATAGCTGTTGTGAGACTTAGCCTTAAACGCCACCATTTAACATATTCATGAATATTGAGTAGTAAGTCAACTAAGTGTGCATTTTACCTACTTATGTATTTTATATTTATTAGAAAAGACACAAAGTATAAATCGAGCCGGCATTATCCAAGAAGATGTACAGCCTCCAGGTATATCTCTAAATTACTAATTGAGGTGTGTCTGTTATGTTATGGTTTAAATAAATATCCCCAAACTGATAAGCAGTGGAGTTTAATTTGGAATCCAGCCTGAAGATACGGGATACATTTTTAAGTTGATAGTTTCTACTTGGTTGAGTCATTCTTCTGCTGCTTAGAAAATTGCTCCGACTGTGCGCTATTTGTCACGTCCATGTATTTTACTCCTGCTCAATTTTGAAAATATAAATTGGAAAACAGAGGCAGTTTGGACCTTAGTTTATGCCTCTTTTGTTGAAAAGAAGGAAAACATGTAAATACTCCTGTGCTCTATATTAAGATACCTCCTTTGAGACACAGCTGTTATTTGTTTCCCTGAAAAGCTCTCCCAGAGCACATAGTATTTCTTCATATTGTTCAAGGGACAGATTGTCTCAAGCTGTTTGTCAGCAATGGCTGTCCTCTACAAAAGCAACACTCACTCTCTCACACTACCATCACTATTTTGTGAGTACTTCATTTGGAGACAGAGTCCTCAAACAGGTGGCAGCTGTTTAACTTCAGGTTCTCTTGGGTGAGACAGATCAATTGAATTCTCATAAAATATTTGCCCATAATTAATTCAATTTGTTTATTCAGTCCAGTTTTCTGGTTTTGCATAATACGTTGCACTTCAACGATCAGCTTTGTATAGGACATTAGCCTAAAACATGCCTAATTTATAGTCTAGCACACTCCAAAGTCACAACACTTGAATCGTGTTTGATTGGTAAACTAGTAAATTATAAAAAAACATTTTAGCATGGGTCAGTCTGATTTTATTACATAAAACACTTAGCTTTTTAAAATAAGTGAAAGAATTGACTCTGCAACTATCAGAATGAGTTCCTGTAATGGAGTCTTGCAGATAAAGATGCCCATGAGTGAGAGATTAGTAATGTTTTTTACTACTTACTTTTGTTTCTAAATACAGGCTGTCCTCAACTTATGACCACAGTTGAGCCCAACATTTCTGTTGTTAATTGAAATATTTGTTAAGTGAGTTTTGCCCTATTTTATGACCTTCCTTGCCACATTTCTTAATTTGTTGGTAACACAGTTGTTAAGTGAATCTGGCTTCCCACTGACTTTGCTTGTCAGAAGGTCAGAAAAGTGTGTAATGACCCAGGGCATGACACAAAAGCAACAAAGTCACAAAAGTAGATAAAGTCCCTTTAATTCCTCCAATTTGGCGCCCAATGTCCAGTTATCATCGGCTGGAGAAAAAACTCTCAAGAACAGTTTTCAAAGGGAAGAAATTCAGTCTGAACCCGAAGTGCATATAAATGATAAATAAAAAAACCAACACAAACCACGCTGCAGCAATTAACAAGACAAGGCAGGATAAGGAATTGCAGACTTCAAAAGATAACGAAACACACACAGTTGGGAGGACACCAGAACCCAGATAAAACTTGACAAAGATAATGCATTCTTTGCTTCCAGCAAGGCTCTGCGTGCAAACACCCTTTTTATCCTGTTTTCCCAGCTGCAGCTAATGAAGGGAATCAGGGCCTTTTTCTCCCCTGTAACCCAAGTTGCTTCCTTATCCATTCCTCCCTGCGTGCCCTAGGATGAAGAGGAGGTGGGCCTTGGCCTTCCTCTGAATGCCCAGCCGGATTGTGCCCTTCCCCAGTTTCCTCCACAGCCACTGGAGCCACACTCCCACTCGCTGTCAGCTGTTCGAACTCCCCCTCGGAATCAGACTCCAACAGGGGCATGACAAAGGGAATCACATGATCCTGGGATACTGCAACAGTCATAAATATGAGTCAATTGCCAAGTGTCTGAATTTTGATCATGGGACCATGGTGGTCATAAGTGTGAAAACTGATCATAACTCACTTTACTCAGTACTGTTGTAACTTTGAATGTTCACTAAGCGAACTATTGTAAGTCAAGGACTATCTGTATGATATATAGGCAAACTGCCTAAAGGTTTTGGGGAAAATTGGAAGAAAATATATCTCAAGGGTGATGATCAGTACGCAGCATACTTTCTTTGGAAGATGGGATGCAGGCAATGTCGTACAGCTAGCAATCATCCCCCAGGGTTGTGTGGTCAGAGATCAGCAGTTGGCATGTATTTAGGATGGCGTGATCCACTTAACAACTGTGGCAAATAGGTCATAAAATCAGTTGCAACTAACTTAGGCCCCTTGCTTATTAAAGGAAATTCTGATCCCAATTATGATTGTAAATCGAGGATTTCCTGTAGCAAGAATGAATGTAAGAGCAATAGGAGGTTTATTAACAATGTGGGAAAGAAATGACGGTGACCATATTAAGGGAAATGTAGTGTGGAAATCCAGATTTTTGTTGTACAACTGTATCAGCACAAAGATGTGCATTTTTTTACCAGGTCACTTATTTTTGTATTTAGGGTATGGTCATTGAGATTTTAGTTATATGGAAAGAGTGGGGAATGAATTATAAAATAATTGTATGAAGAAAGAGAAGAGTGAATAGGTGGAGAGGAGGTACAAGACAGGAAGTCATGATTAGTGGAATTGACAAAAATCTTCAAATGAAACAAGTGAGAAGCTTAAAGAACAAAATAATGTGCGATGTGGATATAGTCAAAGCAAGGATGATTTTCAAGATAGAAAGGCATGTGTTAATAACTAGATTTAATTGTATTTTCTCCTTCATGCTTTTAGTTCCTCCTCCTTGCAGTTTCTTATTCCCTTTCTGTAATTCTGTAGGGTACCTTTGTGAAATCCTTCCACTATGTGATATTATCCAGCTCTTTTCCTTGTCAGCTAAATTACTGAAATTGTGTTTGCACAAATTAGCCAACCACATTTTTCTTGGTTCGTTGTGCAAGCTCAGCCTATCTAATTAGTTTTGTGGCTTACGAGGCCATGTAAATCCAGAACATTTGGGTTAATGCAGGAAAGTTATTAAATCCCCTATTGGTGAGGATGATTAGTGAACTCAGCTGTATGAAATCCATTTTAGTGGGTTGGATACAGGCCAGTAAGTAAAATATTCCAAGAAATAGAAGTGCTATGCTGAACTGATTTTCCCTGTGTGAAGAATTAGGATTCATCCAGCCACACAGTGGTTTGTACTAATCAACAAAGCAGATTTTAAGTTTTTTTTTTCCTCTTGCATTTAACTTTGAAATAGACGCCCTAGTGTAGACAAACAATACTATTCCTCTATTCCTAGGCAGGGAAAACCTGGTCAGAGTTATCCACGCTCTAGTTATATCCTGATTCAATTGCTTCAAAGTGTTATAAAGCAAGTAAGTATTTTGGCACTTAAATTATGAGCTCAACCTATTTGTATTTTACAATGCATTATTGCCGTTTTTAGGACTACTGGCTTTGTTTTTGAGTGTTCACAGTGCTAATTTAGATACTTACAAAACTATGCACTTCTTTAACAAAATACCTTCTCTATTCTACTGATAACTCAGTTACTTTCCCTTTTGAGATGAAATAGAGGGAGGGGGAGGATTTTAGTTACTACAGCCTAGTTAGGAAATAACACATTAACAAAGTTTATCGGTGTTGTTACTGATTGGACTCATTGTCTACAACCAACATTTGTGAGGATTCAAATCTATTAAATAAAACTAAAAAGTAGGTCTCTGTAGGTTAACCAAGTTCCCCTGAAGTCTCTTTTTCACCATATTTTGTCCCTCGTTCATTTATTAAGTAACTATTTGAGAAACTAGTATGTGCATTAGTGTTCCAAGTTACTGATTACTGCCGGCTAATTTTTTTTCCTGCTACAATCCTAAACATGCTTTTTGGATAATGAGTTTATTGCTAGGTTTATTTCCTGGGAAATGTCGTTTTATATTTTAGCTTTTAGCTTTGGTATTTATATTTATATATTGTTCATTGTTAGTTATTTAAATTATTGTATATTGTACATCCTCCCAGAATCACATTGTCAGAGTGAGGCAGCCTGTAAATCTCGAAATAAATGAGTTAGATTTAAGAGTGGAATTTCTTTCTGAGAAAATCTGTTTAAATTACTCAAATGAATAGTTGTTATTTCTTCTACTACTCTTTTCCCACAGCATTTTGTCTCGGAGACAGTTGTGTTCCCCAACCCTCCTCCTGTATTTGATGCTCATTTCTCAAAACAGTTACATCTAGCCTGAGTTATTATACAGTGTATCGTTCAGCAAGAACTATGGACAATCTTACTTGATCAGTTGATGAAAATTTAACAAAGAGAAACGCTAACCGGAGTCTTAGATTGCCCTCATAGGAAAACTACATATTCTAATGTAAATGATGTAGGGACATCATTTCTGAGTCACTCTCACCTGAGACTAATTTTCCAATTTTAAATAAGAGATCTGACTGTTTTTTTGGTGGGAGGGGGCACAGTGCTTGTTTTGTTATTTAAATTATAATAGTTGTGGAGGTTTTCCCCTTGATGTACACATGCTTACAACTGGAAACGATCTTGCACTGATACCGATATTAAAAGGAATCATTCTAAATGCTCTAATCGTATGTTTACCTATAGGATTAAAAGTGTGGTCTGATCCATTTGGAAGAAAATAAAAACCTCTCTCTGGGTGAGAGCTTGAAGAAGCGTGGATCTCCGCTTTTGCCATCCATGATACTCCAAGTCCTTTCTGACAACTGAAATAATGTAGAAAAAGGGTTTGGCATGTTGGCTTGCATTCATGCGTATAGACTCGTAGTAGTTGCTAATTTTCAAACATTAAGATTGTCTATGATTTTGATGACATAGCAAAGAGAATTGTACAGAATGATTTTGTTGAGAAAATGGAATAATTGTGTTTTTCTTTATTGAAAGAATAAATGTTATTTTGATCTGCACAGATTATGCAGCTGATGTCTGCATAAAATATGCTAATAATAAAGTATATTCTATAAAAATACATGGTTCTGAAATTGTGAGAAAAGAGCCTTTTTATAATAATCTACTACAAGATACAGTGCTCAGTGTTTTAGCTGTCCTTTAAATGAAAAGGTGAACTGATAATAGAGCCACGGTAGCACAGTGGTTAGAATGCAGTACTGCAGGCTACTTCTGCTGACTGTTGGCTGCCTGCAATTTGGCAGTTCAAATCTCACCAGGCTCTCAAGGTTGACTCAGCCTTCCACCCTTCTGAAGTGGGAAAAACGAGAACCCAGATTGTTGGGGGCAATACGCCGACTCTGTAAACCGCTTAGAGAGGTAGATGCTGTAAAGCACTATAAAGTGGTATATCAGTCTTAAGTGCTATTGTTATAATAACAGTAGTTATTTCTGAAAAAGATACCCCAATAAACATAATTTCAGGCTTCAAGAAGAGATGATTTTTAAAGTTATATACTGTTTTTCTTGATTTGAAACTTCTAAATAGTTTCTGTGTTTCAATTGTCACCAAGTTGGCTTTGAGACATAAGTGTAGAAAATCGCCTGCCTGTATTCTGACAGGTCCTTTTCTAGCATCGAGATAATAATGCCTAGTTTTGATTTCCTGCACCGATATTGACCAGATAAAACCAGGCAGGTATGTATAGCAATAGCACTTAGACATAGCACCCCATAGTGCTTTACGGCTCTCTCTAAGCGGTTTACAGAGTCAGCATACTGCCCCTAACAATCTGGACCCTCATTTTACTGACCTCGGAAGGATGGAAGGTTTGAGTCAACCTTGTGCTACTCAGAATCGAACTCCTGGCAGTGGGCAGAGTCAGCCTGCAATATTGCTCCATGTCTATTGTGACACACTTTTTTTCCAATATCACAGGCATATAAAATGTGTACAGCAGAAATTCACAAACATTCAAACATTATGTGCTATCAAAGTACAGAAATAATCTTTTGCTTAAGGGTGTGAAATTACCTATATTTCAAAATATTTAATAGGCTGCTTTGCCTTCTTGGTCATTATGTTTAAACAGTACTATAGGTAATGATACTTAACAGACGTATAAAGTTGAACAAGATGATTGTTGGTCTAGTCAACTTGAAGCCAAGTGAAACCACATTTATGAGATATCATTCTTGATGTTTTTCAGAATTCTGTGTGAGTCTGAAAAGTTACTTTTTAAAAAAAAAATCACATCACCTTTAATGAACCATCTCATTAATGCAGCTGCAACTTTGTTCATATATTGAGGCAGGAAAAGCAACAGGCAGCTAGAGAGATGCTGCTGTTATATAAGAGAGAGAGCACGCTTGAAAACATGCAGAACCCTTAGACTAGGGGTCCCCAAGTAGATTTCAACTCCCAGAATTCCTCAGCCAGCTATGCTGGCTGGAGAATTCTGGGAGTTGAAGTCCACAAACCTTAAAGTTACCAAGTTTGGGGACCTCTCTGCCTTAGACATTTCTTCTTCCCAATAAGAATATTATCCTTTCAAATGAGCTTAACAAAATAAAAATGCAATAACTCAAGAATGGTAAAATAGTAAAACTGGATCCAAGAACTAATAAAATATAAATTATTAACTGCAGTCATTCCAATTATCCATAGGTCTTATAAGCCAGGTTGGTTTTTAGCAGCTTCTGTTTTTGCAGTTTTCATTATCCAAATAACTGAAGATATGGAAAGAAAAAAATGGAACTATAATAATGCAGGTTTTCAAAATTTGTGTTAAGGGATATAAATATAATTGTGTTTTTTCAGGGACTTATTTTAAAACAAATCCTTTGACATACGGTAGGAATAGAAGAAGCTATAGTTTGCTTGAAAATGCCATTTATGTCTCAGGTTTATTCATCCTTTTTTTTCTCTTGGTGATGATAAAACATACTAAGCGTTGAACATCTGAGAAGGAGTAGAACAATCATAACTGCTCTGTAGAAATATCTACCATATCTTCTGAACTTGAAAGATGGACATGTTGATTTGCTGGAGATGAAAGCTAATAAAAGATGCTTGTGATTTACAATTCAAATAAAAAGGTGTCACATACATTTTGTATCCTTTTCTTGATAGAAAGGAGTGTACTAATAAAGGAGAATATTTGCAGCACAGGGTTGACATGAGGGGCCCTTGGTGCTGTCTCAATTTACTTGTTCACTGATGATGTTACCTAGTTTGGCTAATGAAACGTCTGCAAGAAACCAAGGACCCCTCAGAAATGGAGTTCAACATAAGTCGATAACATTCAACAAAGTTCACAGACAGAATCTTTGCTGAGCTATAGCAAGAAGCTTTTATTTCCATATGACTGAGTCTGCAGCAACATGACAAGAATATAGAAATGATTTAGACAAGCTTCCATTAATAAAAGTTTCATAGGAAATAACAGTTCGCTGGAGAGATACAATTGAGATCGTTTATTAAAACAATCTTCAATTGCTGAGTCAAGAAAGAATCATTTCCTAGTATTCTGTCCAAGGGATAAAACAAACATGTTTGGCCTCTTATCTGTTCGGTTTCACAGAAAATGAACTTGTCTTTTGTTTGCTTTGATCCTTGAAATTGCTTGTAGTTTTCTTTTTCTCCAGTTGTACTCTGGCAATGATCAACCACCTAATCTTCTGGATTCAGGCAGACATCAGTTATCCCAGTATATAGACGGATGTAAAGAAAAAGAAACTGATTTCAGCTCCTCCCGAAATGTGCAATGACTTTTGAGATACAATAAAGTGACAATTCATTAGGCTGGTGCTGTACTGCTTTTTTGGGAATTAAAACAGACTATGAATAACAGAGTTGGAAGTCACAAGCAAGAGACCCGTGTTGGCGAACCTATGGCAGGCAGGGCCACTTCTGCCAGAACGCGAGAGGGCACCCGGAAGAGCCCCACTGCACACACACGGCCGCACGACAGCTGATTGTCAGGTATCTGGCGTGCATGGGTGGGGGTGCACGCGAGACGTGCGCATGCGCAGAGACGCGTGGGGAGGGGCCCAGCACGCATTGCCTTCTGGGTGCTGGCACACATACACAAGCGCGCACGCAATTTTCAGCACGGGAGCCGAAAAAAGTTAGCCACCACTGCCCTATACCATTCTGGACAAATACTGTTTTCCCAAAAGTAAGACCCAATCAGAAAATAAACCCTTACATTATTTTTTTTTCCACAGGATGCTTGTAACATAAACACTACCCCCCAAAATAAGCCACCGTTAAGATTGTGTGCCAGGCGAACACATTTAGTACCGTATTTCCCGGAAAATAAGACCTAACCGGAAAATAAGCCCAAATGCGCCTTTTGGAACAAAAATTAATATAAGACCCGATCTTATTTTTGGAGAAACAAGTAGCTGTCCAGTCTCCTCTTAAAAGTTTCCAGGGATGGAGCACCCACAACTTTTGAAGTCAATCAGTTCCATGGGTTAATTGGTCTATCTCCGTAGTTCTAGGTTGCTTTTCTCTTGGATTAGTTTCCATCCATTGCTGCTTCTGCCTTCTAGTGTTTTGGAGAATAACTTGACTCCCTCTTCTTTGTGGCAGCCCTTGAAATATTGGAACACTGCTATCATGTCTCCCCTAGTCCTTAATTTTACTAAACTAGACATACCTGATTCCTGTAACTGTTCTTCATATGTTTTAGCCTCCAATCATATTTGTTGCTCTTCTTTCCAGAGTCTCAACATCTTTTTTATATTGTGGCAACCAAAATTCCATGCAATATTCCAGGTGTAGTCTTACCAAGGCATTATAACATATTAACACTTCACATGATCTTGAGTCTATCCTATGAAACATGATACCAACACATATACATACATATGATAAGTAGGTATATCATAATATACAGGATGTATATGATATATGAGTTCTTTCAGGGCTTGAGATTAAGGATTCCTTGCTTTGACTGGTTAAGTTTCAGACAGAATAACAGAGTTGGAAGGGACCTGGTAGGTCATCTAGTCCAACCTAGCACAAGCAGGAGACCCTACACCATTTCTGACAAATGGCAATCCAATCTCTTCTTGAAAATCTCAAGTGATGACACTCCCACAACTTCCGAAGGCAACTTCTGTTCTATTGGTTGATTGTTCTCACTGTCAGAAAGTTTCTCCTTATTTCCAGGTTGAATCTCTCCTTGTTCAGTTTCCATCCATTATTCTTTGTTTGACCTTCGGGTGCTTTAGAAAATAGTTCGAGCCCTTCCTCCTCTCTGTGGCAGCCCCTCAAATATTGGAAGACTGCTTTCATGTCTACCCTGGTCCTCTTCACTAGACTAGTAACAGATAACCTCCACAGTAGACTGTAGCTGTACATATAAACATCTGTATCTGGTAAAACCTTTGCACATCTATTTCAGAGCTCTCCAAAACCATCAGATTTAAATAAATGAAGGAATCTCTTGTTACTTTACCTGCAGCAGTATTTTTCATCCCAGCACATGGGGTGTGATGACCCGGGGCGTGGCACAAAAATATCAAAGGCACAAAAGTAGATAAATTCCCTTTAATACCTCCAACTTGGCCCCGATGTCCAGTTATCCTCGGCTGGAGATCCAACTCTTCCAAAAACAGTCTGCAAAGGGAAGAAATGCAGTCCGAACCCAAAGTACAGATAAATTAGGTATAAAAAAACCCAACACAAACCACGCTGAAGTAATTAACACGACAGGCCAGGATAATAAATTAATAAATGATAACGAAGCACACACAGTTGGGAGGACGCCAAAACCCAGATAAGCCTCAACGAAGATAATGTACGTTTTGCTTCCAGCAAGGTGGTGTATGCAAACGCTCCACTTATATCCTGTTCTCCCAGCTACAATTAATGAAAGGGATCAGGGCCTTTTTCTCTCCCATAAGCCACGTTGCTCCCTTCTCCGTTCCTTCTTGCGTGCCCTAGGATGAAGAGGGGATGGCCCTGGGTCTTCCTCTGAATGCCCAGCCAGATTGTGCCCTTCCCCTGTTTCTTCCACAGCCACCGGAGCCACACTCCCACTCCCTGTCAGCTGCT